ACACAGAGTAGCTGTACCCTCAACACTGAGTCACAACACATCCTGTTCCCAGTCAGTTCGAGATATCCCATCCAGGCTCTCTCCCTGCTGGCAGCCCCTTTGTCTATCTCTAGGATCCTTGCCTAGTAAGTCCTGTTCGCTGGCAACACATTAGCTCTTCTCTAATCTCCCTGTGCTCATCCCTAGTATTGGAAACCCCGTTTCATAGTTTCCCAGTCCAGTACTCTTGTATTAATTCTCTTCCACTCCTCAGTCTCTACTCCTTGTGTCATAACTTTCCTGTCTACCTTCTCTCAAACACTGTAAACCAGCTCATAGAGGTGTACTTGTCTTCCTTATTCCCAGTCAGATCCTCTCTCTCTCCTCACTTAAGGATTACTTAGCTGTTTGTCCCAGTCTACTCCTGTCTGCCTCATCTTTTGTCTTCTTCACACTCATCTCAGATTACTCCCTTCCCCGTGTTATTAGAAAGAATAAATACCCTCCAAGAGACAGGAAAGCTTCAGCCCATCCAAAGCATCTGGAAAAAGCTATTTCTGGCAATGCCATTTCAGTCACCCATACTATAGGTCAAAGCACTGATAGTTACTCAGCTTGTAGGCAGTGCTGTCAGCACCAAGGGATGCAAAAGATTCAGACAGCTCTACACACACAGAAATTCTCCACTTTGGTTACTTTGCCCCAGCAATTTCTGTTAAACACACATGTTAGAAGAATTTATGTTTAGGTGAGTTTTCTTAGCCATTATTGTAAGAAAAATCCCCTTTCCAAGTTTTACTTCTGTTTCAAGGCACAAGGGGCTTGGAATAGTTCAGATTCGATGGTTGCTAGATTTTAAAATGAAATGTTGGCATGCAACATTTTAGCACGAAATTGCTGTATTTTGACAAACTGAAAACACACTTACACAGCTAAATATCTGGCAATCCTAGCAGCAAACAGTCCTGCTATACATGTGTGTGCATGGCAGAAAACAGCTTCTGCAACACTGCCATTCAAAATACGCAGGAAACATCATTTTTCCCACCAGCCTTTCAAACAGGAACACCAACTATCTCCTACAACTGCTAAAGTTACAGGTCAATGTTGCTTCCAGTCTTTAAGCACTTAAAAAAGAGCAAGCTACCCCTCAACGCAGCCCAGGTACACCAGCCAACCTCAGAGCAAGAAGTTTAAAAAGATCCCACTGCTAATATATTTTGGCACGGGAAGGAGAGTCTGCATTCCAGACCATGTGGAGGGGAGACATTGCCTGATGCAGTTTCATACAGTGAAGCCCAAATATCCACCACTGGTGAAACATCAGAATGATAATCAATGAGATTTCAAACAAGTCTAAACAGAGCTACAGCTACTGCAAGGAGCTATTTAGATATGTATCAGCTGCTTGGAAAGAAGTGACTATCCCTGTATTTTGACTACCCTACAAAAAACAAGTTTAAGGACAAAGAACTCTCTGTTCCCAACTACAGAAACCTCAGGTATCTATATGAACTTCATGCTGATGAAAGGTTTTAGAATATTTGTCTCATTTTACCTAGCTAATTATAGTATGTTTATTTCTTTATCTGAAAGCTGAAAAAAATACACACAAAAAGTGACTTCTGAAGAGTGGGTGAAGTCCTAGGTGACATTTTGTAGAATTCAAGTTATCTTCCATCTATCTTGAGAAAGCTGGAAACATATTTTCAACTTTTTAGATGAAAGCTTTCATACTTGTTCCCAAAACATGTTTAACTTCCTTAAGATCTATATGACATATTCAGTTTAGAGTTTGCATTTTTTTTGGTGCACTAAGATTATTTGCTTAAAGAACCTAAAAACTAAAAATATCTGCAGAAATTAAACAGACCTAAAAGTTTATTGCTGAGTTAAAGAAAAAAACCAACATTTTAGTGTCTTGATAATATTGCTTCTTACAAGTCTAATAACTTACACTTAATCTTAAATAATATGCTAATTATTCTGCAAGATAATTCAAATTCTCTTATTTCACCATCTTCAGGACAGACTTTACTAAGTAGCTCTTTTTACTGAATTATTATAATGTATTTTCTTGATTAATTCAATTAGTAGATTCTTCTTTATTTGTGGCATTTTCTTTATCTAATATATCAACTGTTGCTTGGGAAAAAAAAAAATCCCAAACTAAAAAAATCCACAGAAAATGTTCACCTCGTCACTGCTTGTGGTAGAGGAGATCCATGACTAATACGAAAAGGGATCAAAGCCTCAAACCTGTCTTACAACATATTGTATTGCACAAGGAGGTGCTATTATGAGGTAACAACAGTTCTCATGAACTACCCTTAACCTTGGCAGCCACAGACTACCACAGGTTCCTCAGTAGAGACCACAGACACCAACAAACAACAGACCCTGAGCAACTGAGAAACAGAACAATAGTTAATAATTATTTACCCGTACAACTTTTGAGGTAATAGTATTCAGCAACCTAATTCACAGATACAGAAAATCAAGAATTTTCCCTTCTTTCACCATCCCCACACAAGGGTTACACTTCTAACTTGTGCTGAGGTTCAAGTTCTAGTGAAAAATCAACTGTGAGCCAAATGCAAGTATTTCCCCCTCACTGATGCCTGCCTCTCAGTGACATGACCTGTCCAAGAATTCTAACAGGTCATTAAAAGCTGTATGGTAAGAAATCACCAATTTCAGATCCTCCTGCTTTTGAGAAGGGAGGCTATATTGAAACATCTCCCTGTGACAGAGGTAATTAAAAAAATAATTAAGGTAAAGTGGATTAAATCTGTGTATGTACATACATAAACACAGAGGCAGAGAGAACAGGAGATACCTCTGATTTCATTATGTGATATGCAAATGCCAACGCACAGCTGCTTTTTTTTTTGGACATAGAACAGATTCTATGAATTCTATTAGAATGCATATGAATGCACCAAGTGATTTTCCTCAGTTGTCTACTCAATGAGGACAAAGAGAGTATTATTCACAGGTAACAAGAGGGATGATATAAAAGCTGGGCAGCAAGGATGTGGTTCATTAAGGGAAGAACTAAAGAATTCATTAAGGTGCACTGTGAGGCACAGCAGCCTTGTAAGTATTCTCTGATGTGCCAATAAAGTCATAACAAATACCCAGTAAACTAGTTAAGTAGTTTTCCCTCACATTAATTTTGGTTTCAGTGTCATTCAAGCTGTGGTCATTTACAATTTCAAAAACATACTTGACCCCTTCTACAAATCACACAACGAGCCTGATACCCAAACACTCTTCTGGGAGTGTCTCAACATTTTCCAACAAACTCAGAACAGCATTCTAGTAAGAACACTGGAAACCAAAGCATGGCTTGTCTTAACACAATATAGTTATTTACTGTGGTAGTGTGACAGGCAGCCACACTTCTAGGAAGTTTTCATACCATTATCATTTATTTTTCAAGCAATTTTTAAAATACTTGTTTAAGAAGATGCTACACAACTGGAGCGCCCCACATTTAAACTCACATCGTCAAAGTAATCTACCAAATCATTTCCTCCACCAGCAACATGAAGACAGAGTGCATTGTGACACCTCATACATATTTAATAACAGCCTGATAGGTTGTCATTAACATCAAACAGCAATCTAAGTCTGCTACATTAAACATGATCCCTGTGTTAAGAGGACAACCACAAAGTGCCTCCAAGATCGATCCTGTAAGAAATACCCACCGACTTGGACAAGGTATAATGAGGCCAACTGCACTGAAAAAGCCACACACCAGATCTAAAATTAAATAATAAAAAAAAAAAAGCAAGGGAAAAAGAAAAAGCTTCAATGGGTCATAAGACCAGACATGCCATAAGGCAATCTGTCACAGAGCACTCATATTAATAACTGTTGTGTCAAAACTGAACATTCAAAAGAAAAGACAAACCTTCCTTTATGTTTTATGAAATGTAAGCCCACAGAATTAATAATTTATGAGATGAAGAAAAATATCACGTTTGGCTATAAATATTAACAGACGCTGTCAACCTGTTTAGAACTAAATTTTGACTGTCCTACCTTACAATTATCAACTTAGAAAGGAATATGCTTCAAAAGCTCAAAAAAAAAAATTTAAAAAAATCGGTATGAAAGTTAATTAATGAAGAAATTAACATTCTCTATTCATGTAGCAAAACAGCATAACTCTGTTCTGTGCCCGGCTGCTGCTGAGCCAACACTCATTGACTGGCACTGTTTGTGTCCAGAGTGGTGGTGTGCTCTGCTGACAGCAATAACATGGTGTGCAACAAGAAAGTACCCCAAAAGGACATGCTAAACCCAAGATCCAGTGAAAAAAGGGAAAGGAAAGAAGGGAAGTAGTTGTCAGACAACAAAGAAAGATTAAAAAAGGCAGTTAAAAGTTAGTTTAAGTTTGAGAATACAAAAATTTATACAATGGGTCTTGGATAAATGTTTCTCATTAGCTAAAAACAGGCATTTAAGAACTTCAAAAAAGCGCAATTAACCCATAATGCACAACCACGTATCAGTAAGCTCACTGCATGTGATGTCAAACAAATACAAAACATATTTTCAGAGTGGTTAGCAGTTCAAGTCAAAAATCTAGAAGACACTTCTGCCACACATCAGTTATTCTCTGCTTTCATACTATTACAGAGAATAGAATATTGGAACACAAAACAACTGTACCAAAAAATCAGGAATGCCATTAAATTGTATTGTTCTAAATGGTGGTGACAGTGCTTTTCTTTACAGGCTTTATTTAATTCTCTCCAATACTAATATAACTTCAGCCTACTTATGTCCCCATCTGCACTTACATTCTGGGCAACAGTGTTAAAAATACTTACATAAGCATCAATATTGGACATATATTAAAAAAAACCAAGTCAGTCTAAACACTCCATTTTGCTCTACAGTTCCCAACATTTTCACTGCATTTCACCCACTGATGAGCATGCAGAATGAAAAGCCCAAGTTGAACATTACAAGCTCTTACTTTTTAAAAAAAAGTTAATCCCTACCTTTATCATTCTAGAGAGATCTCCAGCATCTGCTAATTCCAACACTATGTTCAGCTCATTGTCTTCAATGAATGAGGCATAATATTTAATTACATTTGGATGATTCAGTTGCTGAGAAAGCAAAAGAATAATTCACATTTTAGCATAGAGTACACTGTATTTATTAAGACTGACACAAACATTCTTATTTAGGCAAACAAAACAACCCCTAAAATCTATTTCACTATGATACAAATTACAAAAATTATACATTTACAAGAAGCATTTACAAATACTTTACAAGAACATGATGGCATTTTAGGATCAACATGACAACTGACATTACAATTTTAGAGGAATTTTGCTTCCATGTATAATAGCCAACAGCGTGCTAAACTGCTATCTGAAACAGCAAAGTCAATTTTTAAAAGCAGGATTTTACTGTATGTAGGACACAGTTGTTCACAATATTGCAGTTTTGGCAGAAATTTCTACTTAAAAGCATTATTCATTTTTTCTATTACTACTCAATGTTAATTTTTAAAATAATAAAGATCACAAAACTGTTCAAGTGAGGCTTATAGAAACAGTATGCAAACAACAGTGGACACTTTAAGTATGTCTATGAAAAACTTAATATACTGTGATGATGGCTCCACATTTTTTAAACAAATCTTTTACCTTGAGAAGATCTATTTCTTTGATGCAGTCAGCACGAGCTTTGGCATCCATCAAATCAAATATCTAGGCACAAGAGAGAGAAGATTTTTATTAAGTGATAAAAATAAAGCGAATTATCATTATTTCACAGCATCCATAAAGCAACTTGAATGATGCGTTTCATGGCAAGATGTAATATTACAGTACGAAATATTTTTCATGACCTGATGCACGGATTTAGTGCTGTGGCCATTCTTTTAGCCCCCTCATAGGAAACAAGTTCATTTTAAGTAAAACTTTTCCAATTACTTAATTGCCACCTCAAACACAGAGGAATAATTCAGCACACTTCCTTATACGTGGTTCTAATCCAAATCACAGTGTCCTAACCCATTCCTGCTACTTCAGTATCACAAACTGATTCTTACTAGTACTGAGCACACCTTTTTTTCCCCTTAGTCTCTTTCTAGGAATCCTTCCTCTCTCATTTGCCATTACATTCTGAATTTAAAAAAAAGCCAAACCAACCAACCAAAAAAAAAAAAAATCATCAACTTCCTTGTGGTCTGACTACTACATTTTGAACTACCCAGAAGAATAATAAGAAACATGCTATGAGGTTTATTGTCACAATATTTAAGAGATTAAATTTTGCAGTTACAACTTTTCAAATGCACATCATTTTCTTCTAGATAGTCTCCAGGAAAAGATGTTTTATATGCTATGAAGATCAGTGGTATCTGGTTCCATCAGCTCAAAATCTCCAAAAGCTCAGCAGCTGACAACTTCCATTTAATGTCTTGCCACCAATTCCAGCACTGAATGTCTGCAGGGAGGTCCTCTCAAACTGACTGCCGAACTGTTCACGTAAATCACACCTTCATTTGCTCTCCCCAAAGAAGTTCAAACAAATCAGGAAGTTTGCCTATGGTCTGCTAAACCTCATTCCTTTAATCAACTGAAAGAATTCTAGAAACTTCATGCCTAGAGCACAGTCCTCACAGAGCACACACCTGCTCCTGACTAACCACTACTTCTTTTCAGATATCCAATCTGTCTTCAGAACTTGAAGAGGTTAGAGTGGATGTAAGACTCACTTTTTGACACAAAAAAAATGAAACAACTCAGGTAGAGAAACAAAATGCCAGACTTGGAGATAGTAAGAGGAAAAGGGGGAGGAGAAAAGAAAGAAGAAATCAAAACTACTTACCAAGAAATGGAATAAACCATCTCACAACTACTTGTATATTAAGGCCAGAATGATGGGAAATAAACAGACTGAGTTAAAAGCAGTTATTCAAGGAGGAGACTGTGGGGGACTTGAGAAAAACACAGCAGGGTAGGTCACAAGAAAGGAATGCAAACACTAAGAAAGCTATTTCAGACATAGTAGAAGAACAGAGTTAGTACTATCTGCGAAATTACAAGTACTAAAAGATAAATAACTCTGATGGAAAACAAAAAAAAGAGTTTACGAGATAAAGTTAGAAATTTAATGAAGGAAATTAAATAGCCTGTATCTATTATAGATTTCAACTTTGAATGAAAAAAGCATTGTTCTTTTATAATTCTGACAACAGACTCAAGTCCTCGTGTTTGGTACAGAAATGATTTTTCTAGGAAACATTTAGGAAAAAATCTAAATATGAGAGGCAGCACATTAACTTGTGGAAGCACTGAGAAGGCAGGAAATTGTAATTATCTTTCCTTATAATCTAAGAGACCAGCAAATGGAAAATTTTATACTCTCTCTTCCAAATACAGTCAATCAAAGTGTGTATCAGGGAGCAGGGGAAAAAAGGGGGCAGGTACAGGCACACTTCTTGAGCCTTCACATTTTTGCCAAGTTCTGGATAACAGTGAGATGTCATTCCTTAGAAATGATACTGAGATTCAACTCCAAACACACAGGAACCTAATCAAAACTGGAGACAGAATTTCAGACTGAACATTGTATACAAACTATCTACTTTGAAGATCTGGAACAATTACCAAAGCACGATTTCAAGATTCAAACCAGAAGAGTTTCATTGTGTGACCAAACAGGGCAGTTTACACCTGTTAATGAGTGTTCCAATATGCCAAGAGGTATAGTAACTTACCTGTTCCAGGAATATTTTGCCTACACACCTAAGCTAACAGGTTTTGCAAGAAAACTTTTTTATAAGCTACGCCTCTGATAGGGACATAAATCAGCACCTGTCATAGAGCAATAACAAAACAACAAAAATGAAGCCCTAGACTCAGGAGCGTGAAAGATCTAGAATCAAGGCATAGGAAAGACAGACAATTTTGTTTGTGTATTCTGCATAGTATTCCCAGTACTTCTAATTTGTTATTAAACAACCCTGGAGTAGACTACACCAAGCAGCTGCTCTCACTAAAGGATTGACTTAAGTTTTATAAACATGACTCTCTATACTTTTGCTACACTTCATACAGCAGCATGGTAAATTTGCCACAGCTACAACTACACTGAATATTTCAAACATTAACTAAAATAAAGTAACACAGGAAAAATGAGTCTAATTTGATCCTTACAAACACAAATATAAACAATCTGAAGATTTACTGTTCAGCATTCTTGCAGTTCTCCATTAGATTTTGATCCAGTTCTAACCTCAAAAGACTAAAAATAGCATTTCCCAGAAATCCAGAATTTCAGTTTCGCAGACATTAACCTCCTCCAACAGTAAGATTGGTAAAAAATAAGAACAAAAAAGAAAATAAAAATTGCTCAATCCATGGCCTCTGAAGAACCTCTGAATCATACCAGATGCAAAAAGCTTCCCAAGATTTTCATTCTGAATAGATTATCTATTTTGCCAAACTGCTGCAGTTCAGATCAGAGGACCCAAGTGTAATAAGCCATGTCAGCTCACACAAGGAGGTTACTGTCAACACAACGAAAAAACCTCCGTGCTTCCTCACCAGAAGTTGACTCAACACTGAAGAACATCTTAGTCTGAAAAATGGAAGCCACAATGAAAGACTTCAAGGAGATCCTTTCAAGTGCATGTCAGAACTACCCAGGGCAGCTGGCAGTGCTCTGAAGTCTCGTTCAGCAGGAGAAGCTGTCCTTGCCTGCAGTTCACTGCACACTGACCACTGATGTAACACTAAAAGCCATGTCAGTGCTCCCCTCACAACTGTAACAGTTCATACTTTTGCAAGTCACCTAATTCCATCTTCAGTTTCTATTACTCAGCAAGTCAAGCTGAAAGGTCAGCTTATGCTCCCCTCCCTCCAGCATGAGCACACAGATCTCTCACATGCACACAGTTTGCAGCCTTGTAGAGACAGCACCACCATTGCCTTCATCAGGTCACAGGCCTCATTCCACCCCAGACACATACTGCCCAAGGACTTCCAACCTTTTGTCTGGCCTTCTCTTGGACTGCACTCACATTTTGAGCTTGGATTTAGCTGTAGCAGCACATGCCTTCCAGTTGAGTGACTTAACTACAACAAAGTCATTGCAGTCAAATGACTTGTGTCTAACCTGGGTTTAGATTCAGCTCATCTCTGTGGTCTTAAGTTATTTATAGCAGATACAAGAGAAGTCTAACAAAACCAGAGTGATTTTTGGATAAGCTTAAGTGATAAGCTTTTGGATCAACACAAACCATTAGCAACTGACTGCTTGAAAGCACCCAGGAAAATCCCAGGTACAGACACTACAAGTGCCCTCCTTCCAGCAGGGCTCAGATTGCTGATGATGCTCCATACACTGATTATTGGAAACCAGTTGCAATCAGACCACAAGCGTTACCATCACTGTAATTGGTTAACAATAAAAACTGCTGCCTCTGATTAGACTGCTAGAGAATTCCTTAGACTAACAATAAATTCTAGTTCTTGACTCCACCTATGATATCAGGATCACAGCGTAATTCAGGTTGGAGGTATGTTTCCCTAGTCAGCACAAACCCCACTCAGCACAAACTGCACAGTGTAATACATTCTATTTCAAACTTATAATTCTTTTTCCCCAATTTCTATTTCCAGAGGACTGTAACAAGATCAATATTTTAAAAAGGAATTATGCTTGCCTAATGCAAAAATCTAATAAGAAGCAAAAATACAGCAAATATATTTATGATGGGATAGTTTCATGATGAGTATAATCAAAAAAATCTTGCTATGGTAAGCACTACACCTTAGCAATTACTGTGAAATTCCTTAAAACAATTAGGTAAATACAGCTAAAGAGGTAAAGGAGCATTTTTTAAAAGCCCTTAGCAATTTCTTTTTCCACATAGCAAGCACACTAAGTAAAATAAAATATATCTTTTCAGCTTCAGTTTTTCATCTCAGCCAGCAGCCAACTGCATACAAAGGGAGAGTAAAAGGACAAATACACAAAATACTCCCTTCTGTGTGCTATGCAACTAAGGGATCTCTGGTAACTTTGCATTCAATCACTTCTCTGGTACCTTCACGTAAGCGCAGATTATAATTTTTTTTCTTCCAGCATTCCAGAAATGTCAGTTGTAAGTACTGTCAAGAGATACAGGTATTTTTAGAATACTGGCTAAGCTATTGTAAGCTACAGAGAAGGAACCGTTCCTATGCAGATGTGTAAAGTAAACATAGAAGTTGCAACACACGAATCAAATTCCTCAGTAAAGCTCTTACATACATGCTCACACGTGCAACTAGAGTTCCTAGAAAGCTATAGGCACAGCAAGAAGGTTTCAAAACATTTAACCACACGATGGACAACGATAGGCCTTAGCTTTTAAGTGTAGGCTGTATCTGACCAATTACCAGCTACCAACAGAACTCATCATTTGAAGTAACGTGACAAGTTCGGAATCTGCCTGATTTGCTCTGAAGTCCATCACTTCTCCAGGTTCTCCTTTTCAGTATTGAAAAGGATAAAGGTCTTTCTAACCTTATCATTTAACTAACTATGTAACCTATTTCTGTTCCATTTGAAATTCTGAATAAAGTAAAAATACTGAAAAGCATTTCCAGAGCAAAACACAAGCATGATTGCTGTAACATCAACCTTCAGAGATGTAGGCAAAATAAAGACCTGAATGCATATAAATATTAAGAGATACAAGCATTAGAGTATTTTGCCACCACAGCCCTGCTGTGCTGAGACAATAGTGCTTCATAAAGTGTGAAATTACAAGTGCTTTTCTAAGATTAATTAACTGTAATTCAGGCCTGAAATAGCAATCCACTGACAATGCACAATGAATAATGAATGCAAGTGCTAGATAAAAGGATTCATTGTCTGAATCTCTAACATGGGGTCTCCAATTTTGGAATGAAAGGGAAAGAAAGGTGGAACAATGTAAAGCAGAAATGTAATGAATTGAGAATTTTGTTGAAATATGCAGTTTTACATTTTGAGTAGCCAAGGTTTCCTTAAAAAATAGCTCATAAAGTGAACTTGTATAGCCTTGCAGTCACTGACTTAGATATGCACTTTTTGTTGTTTAAGGATGTTTTGTGAGCATTTATTGCAGTATCTAGTAACTGCTTACTCTTCCCTTGGAAGTGACTACTGGAATGCTCATAGCTCAGAACACTGGACCGTACCCCAGGCTGTTTTGCTGCCCAGGTTACGCTGAGTGGCAGAAGCAGAGAGGTACTGCTGCTTCCTCAGGCATCATCTTCAGGCTAGTTTGGACCTGAGACTTAACATGTGTTAAGAAACTTACCTAGAAGCTCTTCAGTTTATACTGCTGTGGTCACAGTTCATAAGTGGTTGATGTTTTCTGATGTTTCTTTCACTCTAAGTGTAGTTTAGACATTACTGAAAGTGCAGTAGAGAAGATCTGCTTTTTACTTGTTTATATTTATAATTCAACAGCATCTCAGAAATATAGTTCCCATTTCCATGGCGGAAAAAGAGAGAACCTAATTACTGTATATACCACTTTCCTAATTACACGTAGGCAAACCACACATGGGAGGATGAATCATAAATGGTAGAACAAGAAGAAATGACCGAACACACTATTTTGTGTATTCTGCTTGCTAAATTACTATTAAAAAGGCTTGCAAGTTAAACAGTTCTTACTGTGCTACATATACTACTGAAAACCGAATCAAGAATACTACTTCCTCCTGTTATCTCGACTCCGAATTTGTAGCAGCAACTACAAATTCAGGAAGAGTGGTTTCTGTCACCATCTGCTTGTCCCTTCTCCCACAGCATCTTACTGCCACTTGCTTCTGCTCACATTTCATTCCACAAACATACATTCTGTACACATTAATATAACATTTATCAATATTGTACATGTTTTAGCCAAATAAAATTTTATTAGGGGAAAATAAACATTCTTGTTGGAAAGCTTCATCAGAACTCAGAACTGGCAATCCTTTTAGAAAAAATAATGGCTAGAGATCCTGCAGCTCTGAAAGAGAAGGATTCTAAGCCACATCTACCCTGATGGTAGAGACACACATGAGGAACCACAGACCAAACAGACAAAGAGAACACCTAACCCAGCCAGGAAAATAAAATGGGGAGGGGGTGGAACAGACATGACTTGCAGCACTGGAGAGGAAGGCATGCAGTACAGAAGATGTGAGATGAGAATGGGCAGATAATGGCAAAGCAGAAGAAAGTTCAGATCTCAGCTATGTTATTTAACACAGTGTAGACCATGTAGAGATACGGTCTGAGTGTGGAAAGCTGTATCCATGCATGGGTCTAAAACAGAGAGAATAAAGTCCCTCTCTCACAACAGAAATAAATATTCCTCCTGTTTTGTTCATGCTGAGCTTTCATTAAAAAGGCATCAGAAAAAAAGGCAATATTTTAATTTGAATAAAACACGACTGAAATTAAAAGGAAAAAGCACCATCATAGAGCTCCTCTGAAAAGCAATCACTTCTCACCAGAAGACATCCATGAAAACAAATTTTGTAGTGAAATTAAATATTGTGACTATATTTACCAAAAATATTTCTAGGGAATCTTAAGAAAGATAACAGAAGCACAGTCACAATTAAGATGGTCTTCTGTCCAAAAGGAACAGCTTTAGATGATGTCTATGCAAGCTGCAACAGCTGTGTCAAACACTCACTGCTGCCATGAGCCTTTTGAGCTCCAAGTAATACGTCATTATACACTTAGGAATTTTTTACCTTTACAGGTTAATCAAGTCTCACTTTCCATTCAGGTAATAGTCTCCACAGCAAAAGTGACTTTACTCATCACAGAACACAGCCACTACTGATGTGGACTAGGTAGTAACTTGCAATGGAAAACCAACAAGCCATCTGGAGAAACCATAACTCTTTGACACTATTTCTTACCAACAACCAAGTATATTCTCAGAAATTTATTAAAGAACTAACTAAAAATTAAACAAGAAAGCTTTTCTGCTAGAGAAATCATCACCTGTAAACAGACAGCATGATGTTGTCTTCATGCATTGAAAAAATCTTTTGTCAAACTGTGAAGTCTCATGTGAGAACACAGCTATACACACTGACTTCTGAAATACTGTTAGGAGTACACATGCTAAAATGCCTCTGTACTCTTAATGCGAGCACCATTATAAAAATTTCATGGTTGGACTTTATGACTTTCTTCAAGTACCCAGGCATTTCACATCCACCCTAATTGACATGCATTTCAAGTCACATTTGACCTTTTTGGTTTCTCACACACTGCAAATGAAGGCAGAATTAGCCTAATGTTTTAAGACTGTTGATCAAGGTTCTTAGAATATATTTCAGCTTTTGAAGTAGTATATATCTGGCAGTTCTCCCAGAAGGGGGAACCAAGTCTACTTTTTTTATGACTGCCAGGACTTGCCCAGCCTCCTGGTGCACAGGAAATCAGAGAAATGGAACAGCAAGTCAAGGTATGACAGA